ATGCGGAGGAGAGAGAGAGAGAGGCTAATCAACAAATCAACACGCTAAGGTTGGCTGCAAACAGGAACACGAACGAGACCTCCGTCACTACGGTTGACTTCAATTCCTTCGACGCTTGGGATGAAGAGCAGCGACAGAAGCAACCCAAAAGCCACGTCAAAGACCATACGCGTGTCTTTTACTTAAAGCTTAATAAAAAATAGGGAAGACAGTACAGCTCATTAACGTGTGAGTGACGTGTTGGTCTATTTCGACCGGGTCCGTGGAGCACACGTTCGTACTAATCGGACCGATCCGACTCGGCCAATCTGGCCGCGACCCGGTTCGACACGATTGGAGTCTTAACTCAGACCCATCGGTGCACCGGTTCGATTTGATCAAATCGAGTGATGATTGAACCGCTTTAATTTTGGTAAATTGGATTGGATCAAACGAGGATGATAACACCTCATGAAACTCCACCCTATAAATACAATTAATGCATATGCATACATCTAAAGTGCAATAAATGTTTTTATAATTTATTTTGAAGCGGATGAGGAATGAAAAAAAAAGATATTATCTATTTCATGATGAGCCTAGAATAATATTATATATATTATAAAGATAAAGACATAAGAAGGACAAAATGAGATTGTGAAATGATAGTTTCGGTTTCAAATTTAATTATTTTTATTTTATAAAAAAAATAGAACGAGATTCGAATAGATTCCAAAAGATTCCTGTTTCAATTCTCGAATCTTAATAGATGATAGACTTGATAATTATATTTTATAAATATTTTTTTTACTATAATTAAAGTTTTCAATTATAACAAGATATTACTAACCTAATGTCTAGAATCAAGAAGGGAAGAATAAATCAAGATGGAAATAAAAATATTTTATTGGATTCTTCAGATTTATTGTTCTATATTATAAACTTAAAATAAGAAAAAATTATTTTATTTGATCCAATCAAAATGTCTATCACTCTATCTAATCGGCTCATCATGAGATAATATATCTAATCAAAATGTTTTTAATCTTCATGTTGCTCAAGTACATCGAATCTATGAGACAATATATTATTAGGGTTTTGTTAGTAGCCATGATGAAACTTGCAAATGCTAACAAGTAGTACAACCTCCTATAGAGAGAGAGAGAGAGAGAGAACAAGTGGATGGTGCATTATGGCAGTGGGGGAAGGATGGTGGTAATGTGTCGGGTCGGGTTAATGTCCCATTTGTGGATTCAGTGCGATATTTGGGTCCTCCATCATGTCCTTCAAATCCTTAAATCATGTGACATGTTTAACCAGCAGAATGAAGAATAAGATGGGAGAAAGAATAACATGCAGATTGTACAATATCCACTATGTTTCATGATCCGATGGGAGAGAGATCAGAAGTTCGTCGATTCTCTATGTTGATACAATCGTTATTTGATTACCAAATTTTGCTACAATATCTAAATCTGATCAACTATAAACTATTAATAGCAATTCAGAAGAATCGCTTGATGTCCGACTCCAACACTTTGCTACGTTGGTTAAAGTACGGAGAAAACAACTCCCCGTATAGTCAATTTTAGTCGTTAATTCGATTTCACGATATTGATTCAACTTAATCTTTTTTTGAGTTATTGCATACAAATATCGTAAAAAAGTTTTTCATATTGTTATGACTCATATCTAATGATTGACATTCGTTACTGTTAAGTTAGATCTTGGTTATTTAAGTTGCGGATCAAACTCAAATCCTTCGTTCAAGTCAATCTCGAGTCAAACCTTCTCAATCTATGCGGATCCCTACAATATTAAGTCGGGACATTTTCGACAATGCCCCTCTTATACTTAAGTTAGTAAGAGGTTCAAATGCTCATTAGGAACATATCTAAAAAAAACCTTTTATAGTAGACCTACAAGCTATTATACCATAATTAATACTAGTTATAAAAAACATGATTTGCCTCTCCATAACTATCATTATGGCACATTGCACTTGGGACGAGATAACTCTTGGCATGCTATAGCATATTTCGTTAATCGAATGGTGGTAAGACAATAATCGACTACTTGGAACCTAAGTATTAATCATCTAGCATCGAAGTATTAACCACCTTATGCTGGGATATCTATCATGTTATTATGTCTCTAACAATTTATCACGAATGATCGTTGTTCACCCATAACACCTATATCAACAGAATGTTCATCGCTTTTATTTGCTTATACATATATTTGACAATATATTTTGTTTTATTTTTATATATTTTTACTTAAAAATTATAAACATGAATAATTTATAGAGCTTCAAAGCAATCACTCATCGATAAAACTATCCTAAAATGATATATTTTTATATGTCATAGCCTATAAAAGTAGAGAAAAACATTAGCTATCTCAGAACCCCTGGATGGTACTTGGTTAGATGGGGGTTTAAGGTAATATTGGACGTTGATTAGAACTTGTCAAGAAGCTTGATACATGATGAGCAGTCATTTGCATACTTATGATTATTCGATTGCAGTATAACATTCTTATTTTAAGTATTTACAATATAATATATGACAATGGCATTGTTGTGTTATTTGACCCGCAACTAGGGTCGAGGAAATATTTCTTGATGGACTTGGTCAAGTGGATATCAACATCTCCATATATAAGACGATATTGCTCGAGCAGGCAGCTCTCAAAACGTATATCTTTCATGATGGTGACATCGGTCAATTCCATTAGGTTAGGCGTTTCCATTGCTGATGTTAAATTGGTAGGTATTTTGGGCATAATTCCAAGGCAAAATTGAAAGGTTGATCTTTTGTTTTGAAATGATACAAATGGTTTCTCCAAGTGCTGTATGTTAGACCGCACAAGAAATAGATATGATCTCTGAGATTATTATAAACTTAGGGATCCACCTCGGAAGAAGCCCCTCTTCAGCCATACTGTGCTGCATGTGTGACACTGTTGTTTCTTTTTCTCATTTATGCTCTTTTTGAGGTTTTTATTTTTTATTTTTATCCGACGCATCAATGATCCTTGATAAATCATGATAATAGATTATTTAGTCGATCGATCATTGGTGCGACCTGTAGGCTCATGAGAAATTATTCGTTTTGGACGATGAACGTACCCATACGGTTTTATCCTTTTGAACTCCAAAAAACACCTCCGAGAGTAAAGAAGACCTGACGAACTTATAAACTCTTGGCTCCTCTACTGAAGGGAGCACTGATAAGATTATTTATTCTCACGTTGGTTGAGGAATATGAGAACCAAGGGCTCATAAGTCTGTCGAATCTCTGTTACCCTCAAAAACGTATTTTAGAGCTCATATGCTTCGAAGAACAAAACCGTGCAAGTACGTCCATCACCCAAAGCGGACAATTTCTTATGAGTCTACGGGCTTCTTATGAGTCTACGGGCCACACTAATGGTTGATCGCCTAAATGATCCCTCGTCGAATCAAAATAAACCGTTTCGCTTCATATTCCTTCTTAGTCTTTTAAGCAAGTAGGTAACATATGATCTAATTTATATTCTTAATACTCTGTCCTTATCATGTTTTGGAGGAGGTGAGTTGGTGGTCGTATTCTCAATGATTGATATGCGGGCTCGCCCAACGGGTTGGGCTTGAAGAATATGAGCCTATTAACGACCCAAAACTTATTCGATTCGACTCGTCTGCATGATGGGTCGATCGAACCTAACTCCGAAAGCCTTGGCAGAAGCTCGACTCGAGTTGAGTTTGGGATATGGCATCAAGTAACCTGATCCAAACCAAGTCGAAGCCTATAGAGCTAAATATGTGGCCAACTCAATTGATCCAACGTGACCCAAACCTCGATTAGGCTCAGATCGGAGGGCTTAATAGTGGGTCGGATTGAGTTGGGTCACGAGCATATGTTCCAGAATTGCCTAGATTGGGTTTGCACACAATCCGATCCAACCAGTTCGAATTGCACAACAGGATTCTCTTGTTCGTCTGATGTCATGTTGTACATATTTTTGAATGTTATCTTTGATTGTTCAGATATGACATCGATAGATCTTTAAATTTTTCTTAGGTTTTCAAATAAAAGAAATGAAAATAAAATATTTGTCATTTATTTTTACTAATTTAAATAATTTATTCTTTTTTCTAATAAAATTTATCAACAAACTATGTTTAAGTATTTACAATATTGAAGATTTATATTTTTGTCATGTAAGCAATGGGAGATCATACATAGTTCATGTCTTGTTCCATGTCACTCACATCACATGATTTCACAAGCAATTACTGATCTGTTATCATATTGTAATTCAATACAATATTCAATTTCCTAATTCGAATGTCAAACAATTATATATATATATATATATATATATATATATATATATATATAAACAATGTTCCGTTTGTATATATAATGTGCATGCATGGGATGTTATACGCACATTCATGTGCAGTTTCATCTTCTAATAGTACCTGTCCAGCCATTATTTCTGTTCCCAACTTCTTTACCTACTACAGGACTTGGCAGACATTGTTTGAAATCCAAGTCCACAACTAAGAAGCTGCCTTTTTCTGTCATTAATTATATTGGAGACAATGGATTTAAGACAAGCAATCATATGTTTTGTGAGGTGGTCCATCAGACAAGGAACCTTCCTTCAGGAACCCAGTCTTCATGAAATCAGAAGCCCTAAGGATTTTGTCCACCATTGGGTTTAGCATATAGCTTGACTTGTTGCCAGCACCAAATGATCCAAGTCAAGGATAATACAAAGATGCATGCAAAAGATGACTATAGTTTCATTGACACTAGTAGTAATCTTCTTATTATCCCATTCCCACCTCCTTGTGGGGAGGAAACATTGAGAGAGGAAAAAGTGTGTCACCTTTGAAGATTGTCATAAAGGCTCATACTGAAAAGAGAGAATGGAGGTATTTGGTGTTGGCTTCACCAACCCCATCACTAATACTACTTCATGGTCAAAAAGTGTGGTACCTTCCTCTGTCCACATCTCCTTGGCATGCATGTAAAACCTTCAGTTAAACGAAATGATACCTCTGTCCACATCTCATTCCTCATTCCTTTGGAGATATATAGAATCAAAGTGAGTGATGCTGCATGGCATACTGTCTCCAGGCAGAATGAAGTCCTTAGCAAGTTTGTTTCCTACAAACGGAGTGCCTTCTGCTAATTAATATGTAACAGTGTCAGCTCACAAGGATGCACACAGGAAACCAAACTCTGCATGTCTCTTAAAACAAGTTCCTTGTACTTAGTTGAAGTCATATCTTCAGAGATGGCAACCCTTGGAGAAGACCACTGAGAGTTCCTTGATATATTAATGAAAGACCTGGATATGCAATATTGCCAACTTGTCACCTAATCTTTTGACTTCCTGATCCCCAAAGTTAAAGAGTAGTAGGAGAGGGTAGATCGGTTGGTTGAGTTCCCAGTTTATGAACTACTGGGCCTGAGCCTGCCATTGCACATCACTGCTGCTATCTTTGAGGTTTATATGCATACCAGAAAGTAGCATTTTGATTCTTGCATCACCTGTGGAAGTAAATCCGCTGTGGTCACTGATGGAAGAATGCCATGTTTTCTTCGGTCCAAGGGCTAAGATCGCTTTGGTCCGATGGAGAAATATTGTGAGCTCAGGCTAAGATACAGAAGTGTATATATGAGCAAGCCATCTCTTGGTAGGAATGTGCACTCTCCAACCCACCACCACCCAGTCTCCTCCTAGGGTTTCAATGGGGAGATCTCCCTGCTGTGATGAGCATGGCCTTAAGAAAGGTCCCTGGACTCCTGAAGAAGACCAGAAGCTGGTCCAATACATTCAAAAGCATGGCCATGGCAGCTGGAGAGCACTCCCAAAACTTGCAGGTGGGTACCTCTCTCTCTTTCTCTTATGTATTACAGCCTTGTATGTTTGGTGTTCTTCTCTCTTGCAGGACTTAATCGATGCGGCAAGAGCTGCAGGCTCAGATGGACCAACTACTTGAGGCCAGACATCAAGAGAGGCAACTTCTCCCCAGAAGAAGAGCAAACCATTCTCAACCTCCATTCCATCCTAGGCAACAAGTACTTATCAGCTCTCTTACTGTACTAACTACATGTGCTCTTGTGACCATTCTGAATCAAATCTAAACCTAGAGGAACTCTGATCCATTCAGGTGGTCTGCAATCGCAATGCACCTTCCCGGGCGGACCGACAACGAGATCAAGAACTTGTGGCACACTCACCTCAAGAAGAAGCTGATCCAAATGGGTTTTGACCCGATGACGCACCGCCCGAGGACCGACTTCTTCACTGCCCTTCCCCAGCTGTTGGCTCTGCTCCAGCTCCACCAGCTCATGAACAGCCACCCACAGGACGACGACCACGCTGCACGGCTCCAGGTGTTGGAGGCAATCCAGGCTGCAAAGCTCCAGTATTTTCAATGCCTGATACAGTCGGTCAGTGCCACCTCAAATAACTGCTACAACTGTAGTGACTTGGAGACCATAAGCCTGCTTAGTTCTCAGATGACTTCGTCTTTCCCTTCTCACAATCCTCCTCAGAATATTGATAGCAGCAACCAATTGGCATCCTTCTTTGAGCCACCTGAAAGCAATGATACCAAACAATGCTCAAACTTTTCTGGGTTTAACCAGGGAGAGAACAACAAGCCAAGAACACCATTTGCATCACCTCTTCCTCCTCTCACTGATGTCTCGGTTGCCAACCAGGGGGATGGTTGTAGTATTACTAGCTGTGATGGAAATGGGACTCCTTTCTGCTGGCCTGAGATCATGCTTGATGACCAATTTATGAGCGAGTTCATCTAAAAATTTCAAGCAGATACCCATGTAGATTCTGCCTCATGCATGCATTGCTGATTGCTAATTGGCACTGATCCAATACGTTATACAGGTTCTTGAACACTTGTCAATGTACACAGAAGGTTCCTCTGTTCTTCATACATACTTGGTTGGGAGTTCTATGCTATGTCTCTAAATTTTATTATACATCAAAACTCAAAAATAAGAAATTTGGAATCAGTGCATATACAATGAAACAGATCGGTATACAGTGAAGTTTATTTCAGCTACGAAATCCTAATATTAGAAATAACTAGTCATGACTATCTTTCTTGTCCCAAGCATATGTATTTTTCTGTTGAACTCTTTCACAAAGGTATGTGAACTGGGGTTGTCAAGGAAATTAGAATATAGCAACAAAAGAGAAACTTCCACTACCTAATCCGTGCCCCATGTGTTGGGGATCACAGTAAGTTTCTTATGTCAGTTGTCAGAAAACCAATCTTGGCATCAACCTTAACAAAGTTGGTCACTGTAAGAAGGAAACCTTAGCTAGGAGTAGAAGAATAGCAACATCAGAAAGGGACATTATATATTTTCATGCAATAGCTTGGGTCATCATCATCTGATGCAATTAGTGATTCAGTTGGATGTGCATCAAAATCATTTACAGAAGCGTATATAGTAGAAGCTTAACAATCAATGCTGGTAACATGACTTGGATAATATCAATCAAGTGTTTTCTCAAGTGATCCTAGTCACATTTATCCCTATCAATTAACATTCACAAAAAATATTACTCAAAGAATTTTCAACAGAGCTCGCGCTTTCGTGAGCTGTGAAAAAGTGAAAAAAAAAAAAAAAAACGATCTATTAACCTCAAAGGATCTTCATTCCGAGGTCTATTAATGGATGTTCTATATATATAATTCCAATTGGACACAAGACTTCCAAATTGCAGGTTCAAGCTAATCTAATTGACAGCTAAACTCAGGCTTTTAGTTTCTTGTATTGTCTTACACTTTAATGAGTCCTGTTCTGCCCAAGAACAGGCAGAAGAAGGATAAAGGAAAACAGAGTGTTGCCATATAAGAGCATCTTTTGCTCAATCATCTTCACAAACATTTCAAATGTGCATAAAACAATTATCATGCTAACACGGGTTGTATTTAGGCTTCAAAAAAGGATCATGTAGACCAAAATTAACGAGGAAAATGATGGTTGTTATAGGTTTTAGAATATAAATGTCATGGAATTGACAAACAACATATGACACAAGAAATAATGGTAAAATAACACTACAGCATGATGTGATCAAGACAACTCTGGTAGACAATTTCTAATAACAGGATTCATCACTGCAAAAGAAAAGAACTGAGTTCAAGTACCATGGCACCTAGACAGCATTAATAAATTCAGCAGGAATACATCAGGATTCATGAGAAATATGCTTGTTACTTGATACATGAAGTTGATCTATGATGACTTTTCTGCTTCTGCAGCTTTCTGCTCCTCTTGCTTCTTCCTTAGGGAAGGAGGTGGCCTGACCACAATACTCTTTTTCCATTTCCTGTCAAGCTTCCTTGACAATCTTTTGTTTATCCCCTCTTCAATCTCTCTCTCCCTTTTTACCGTCAGCATTCGAGCAATCTAAAAGGGATTAGAAACACACAAACCATGCATTAGTATGATATCTTAATTTAAAAAACAAAATTACCAGAATAATTGAGAGTACAAAAATTTTAGTGTTTTTGCTTGGTGATTCTATGTCAATGTCAATATAAGGCTTGTATTAGAATTAAAATGATGTGAAAGCGTACACAGATGCCTATGGTAGTAAAGCTTGAAATATTACAAACAGAGAAGAGAAAATCAAGAAGATGTAATCCAGAGCATTAAAGATTATTCTTAATGTCGAAATTACAAAAAATAATTTGATGTGCAAAGCATCTAAATTCCATTAGTAAATGCAGGATACTGAAAATTAGATGAAGACAAACGGCAAACACAATCGATTCAGACTAAAAAAAGATAAATTGATAAAGAGAAGTATAAATTTTAGTATTTTATCCACATTACAAACACGGGGAGAGGAAAGGACTCGAATGCGAGCCATTTTTCCCCTTAATCAGCAAGGAAATAAAAAGAATAGCAAAAAGAAAAAGAAGAAGCAGTGCTAACCCTTAAATGAGCAATAATCGAGAGAGAAAAGGAGGAGGATACCCTTTTGCGCATGCGTCCGAACTCGCTGGATTTGAACTCGTTCCGTGCAGATTTCTGGAGGCGGAGCATGAGGAGCTCCCCTTTGAGGTCGATCACCTCCTCGTTGATCTCCTCCGTCGTCTTCGCCCGAATCTCCTTCATCTCCTCCTCCCGCTTCGCCATATTCACCACCATCCGTCCGCCGCTGGCGCCACTGCGATACGACAGCGGCGTCGCAGTTCGGACGCCAGCCTCCAGTCGGATTCCACGGAATGAGGAAGCCCTCCATGAATGCAGTTGAGGTGAAATCCCAAGAGAAGCGAGGACGTGATGCGCTGAGGAACACGACGACGGCGACGAGACCCCGAGCGCTATCATCTTCCTGCTTCTCTCGCTCGCTCTCTCTCTCTCAACCCTCTCTGATGACGACGCGTTGCCGATGAGATAACGCTCATCATGTTTTTCCTCCCTTATATTTTTCAGCTTTTTGTTTTTAATGTGAGAGAAAAGTGCTCTTTTTTTTAGAAAATCCATCTTTTCTTTTTTTTTTTCCCTTGCCACCCTCTTTTCCAAATTTCCCATAAAGCATCCAAATTTTCCTTTTAATTATACCAATAACACTCAAACTATAGGTAGAAAATACTAGAAAATAATATAAATATAATTTTATAAGGATAAATTTAAAAAAATAGTTTTGAGAATTTTTTTAGAGCACTCCGATTTTAAAAAAATTTCACGGAACATCCCTTCTTTCTAAAGAATAATTTTGACCCGTGGCCACTACCACATGCGACACCCTCACCCTTTGCGCATCGTCTATATCTACCTCTAGTCACTTTTGCTCGACTATCCTCATACTTTACTATCTTGGCCTCTATCTTACATCGTTACCCTCATCTTCTCTCCTCACTTCTTCTACCACCATCGTCGTCCTTGCCTGTGCACCATCATCGTACTCACCAATGACCCCCTCCACCAAGAATGATGACGAGTATTTTGTACTTTTATGTCATAGCTTGAGAGTCGGTATGGGGTATGGTCCAATCCCAAAAGCACAAGATCGTCCAAGTGATCCCTCGAAAGAGAGATGAAGAGCGAGACTGGGTTGGAGAGGATGGCTCCGAGGTTATAATCGAACCCTCAAGGGTGTCCTGAGGTAGAGTCGAGTCGCACTCGATCTATGTTGAGATTCTACATAATAGGTCGATGTCATCGGGGGGGCGCCGCGGTGCGCGGATTCCCGACTCGACCCCTACGATGCTTAAGTTAATTCATGGAGAATCAATCCCTTATTTCGAGATAAGGAACTAATATTTATATATGTGGAGACAGCCAGGGGGTTCGATGGTTGATAATGATTGCTAGTACCTCTTGCGGTGTGATCACGTGGGCAGCCAACCCATATGTCCCCTGCAATGCGAGTTGGCCCGTCCAGGTTCCTATAGTGCAGCATTGACTTGTACAATCCCGTGCGATGCAAAGCTGACCAAATGTGCACCGCTTACCAGGTTAGCTTCCTTCTGTGTCACACGGATGTTGGGTTGTGTTCCGTGTCGACTCCACGGTGGTTACCAGTTGATGACCCGTGAGTGGTATTGGAATATTCCATATCAATAATGAATAGTGAATGAAGGGTGAAAAGACCTATGCACCCTGACGCTATAGCCCTATCTTCTAATATGATAATAAGAACAATGGGGATGATGAATGGTCGGGGTAAGATAAGTGAAGAAAAATCTATAGCTGACAAGGTGGAGACAAAAATAAAATTATTTTTTAGGAATTTTTTTTAGAAGGTTTGAAAATGAGGATGAAAATTTATATTTTTTACAATAGAGAAAAATAAGAAGCTCGGTAAAAAATTTAAAAAATACAAACCCTTTGTTTTTAAAAAAAGTGAAAATTATAGGAAATTTGTCCAATCACTTAAGAATAATTAAGTATCATCCAAATAAAAAATATAAAAATTACTATAAGATTGTCTATGAGATGTCTATTAGTATTAATAATTTAATATGAACAAAATTAAAAATAATTAACGGTGATAAAAATATATTTAGATGCCCTTAATTTAACTTATGTATTATGCAGAGCTCAATAAAAATTCATCTAGTCAATCTTATCAGTTTATTTTTGTTATTGTTGTTCGTTTCCTTTTGTTTTCAAAATTATTTCAAATAAATTATTAGAAAAAGGTTTAAAAAAAGATGAGTTTTCTCATGGAAATCGTCTAATAAATTCTTTCTTATTAATTATAAAGAAGATTAAAATATTTTATAAAAATAATAATAATCAAAGATATTTTTATTATAAGATATTACCATATTAATAACTCACACTACTTGTCATTTATCAGAAGGCTAATTACATATTATTCCTCTAGTTAACTATTTTTAATATTTTGATCCTTATATTTTAAAAAGTTATATTGACATCTCTATAGTTACGAAAGTAAAATATCTAGATCCATTTATCTTAACGTCATCGATTTTACCAATAGAAATATAAAGACAAAAGGCAAAATGCAAAAGGATAATTTTAACGTTTTAATTAATGATGACGAACGATAACATCACTAGAGTTGTGGATGACTGTTGTAGATAAGAAAAACAATGACGAGAGATAAGGGTCAATTTGCATTTACATCAATATCGACGTAGATGCAGAGCGATGAAAAGGTCGCTTAGTAACTGTGTCGACATTGACGTAAATACAGAGTGACCCTCACCTCTTATCATAATTCTTCTCATCCACAACTATCATCCTCGATCCCCAACAACATCGTCGTTCACTATCATCAACTAAATATTTAAATTATTTTTATTAATAAATTAATAATATTAAGTTAAAATAAATCTAGATATTTTATTTTTATAATATAGCCTTTGAAGTATAGAAATTAAATCTTAAACGTAACTAAATACGTGAGGTAATATTAGCCGTTCATCATGTGAAACTACTTGTCTTGATAACATCCTTCTCTTGAAGTCGGAAGAGGAGCATGTAAAGACAAGATTCCACTCGGTCAACGGCCCCCACTGTGAACCTTGTCGATTACCCTACTTGGGGAGGAGCTGTTGGCGGAGAAGGAAGAGGCGAGGGTATGGGGACTGTGGCGGCCGGGCGGTGGACGTTGGTGCTGGTGAACCTGGCGGCGATCTTGGAGCGCGCCGATGAGGCGCTGCTGCCGGCGGTGTACAAGGAAGTGGGGGCGGCGCTTCACGTCTCCCCCGCCGGGCTTGGCTCCCTCACCCTCTTCCGCTCCATCGTCCAGTCCTCCTGCTACCCCCTCGCCGCCTACATGGCCGCCCGACACAATCGCACCCATGTCATTGCCCTCGGCGCCTTCCTCTGGGCCACAGCCACCTTCCTTGTCGCTCTATCCAACACCTATCTCCAGGTGCGTGCCTAAAGATTCGACTTTTCTTGATATATGCTTGTCGGGACTGTGGTCGAATCAATTAGTTGATGTCTGCGGGACAGTGAGGAAACGATTTTGGCTGGGAAAATCGAATCTTGGCTCGGCTTATTGGTCCTATAGTTTGCATTACTCGCGTTTTCGCATATGCTAATGTGATTGAGCTCCCATTGTTGAGAGCTTACATGAGTTCCGGTTGGAATTTGCATTTTTTCTGTGTGTTCCGGTAATAATTTATGGTGTCTAATGCCGATCTCCATTTGGTTAATGGATTGAATGTTACTTGAAATGTTGTTAATGCTGACGGCGTGCAAAAACATTTAGCTGCCAGTAATAATTTATACTGATAGAAAGTCTTTTGTTTATCAGTTCCTGCTTATGGTTCGAATAAATGGTTATTATGCTCAACTATATCTCTCTTTCTCATATCAGGGCTGGATCGAAGTCCAGATGGGAACTAGAAACTTGTCACTAATTATTGCCAAGCGTATATTGCTCGCGTAGTAGCGAAATAATTATTGGCATTAGTTGCTTCCTTACATGGGGCAACCATGTTGATACCACCATGCTTGCATTGACTAGTTTGGGTTGGATTTTTTGTATTTCATTTGCCAATGTACTTAACAGAGATTTTACATTTAAGCTAGTTAAAGACCTTACATGTTAATTTCTTTAAGATCCCTGGTTTGTCATTTTTAGACAAGACACATTTCTGTAAGAGGTTTTGTACCTTTTTCTTGCTTTCTGCTTCAGAAAGTTTACTCCCCATGGATGCAGTTTAAGTGATATTATTGCAATGAAAATACATCTGTTTGAATAATGCATGAAATTCCTTTTGTTGTTTAGGTAGCAATCTCAAGAGCTTTCAATGGCGTTGGACTAGCCTTGGTGATACCTGCCATCCAATCCCTTGTTGCTGATTCTACTGATGATAGCATTCGTGGTTCAGCTTTCGGATGGTTACAACTGACTGGCAATATCGGTTCCATCCTTGGTGGTTGCTTCTCTCTACTATTAGCTTCCACTACGTTCATGGGAATTGCTGGTTGGAGGGTTGCTTTTCATGTGGTTGGAATAATAAGTGTGGTTGTTGGACTACTCATCCGAATCTTTGCGGTGGATCCTCATTTTTCTGATGATGTCAAACCAGCTGATGCGTTTCTCACACGGAAATCTGTCAGGGAAGACGTGAAGTTTATGCTTGACGAAGCAAAGGCTGTTATAAAAATCCCATCGTTTCGGATCATTGTGGCTCAAGGAGTTGCTGGTTCATTTCCATGGTCTTCCTTATTGTTTGCACCCATGTGGTTAGAGCTCATTGGTTACTCTCATAATCAAACTGGGGTCCTCATGAGTATGTTTATCATTGCAAGTTCACTTGGAGGACCATTAGGAGGAAAGATGGGGGATTGTCTTTCTAAATATTTTCCCAACTCTGGAAGGATATTTTTTTCCCAGATAACTTCAGGCTCTGCAATCCCACTTGCAGCCTTGTTGATGTTGTTCTTACCAGATAATCCCTCTGCAGAATTGGGACACGCCCTTCTCATGTTTGTCACAGGTTTAAGCATCTCTTTGAGTGGTCCAGCTACAAACAGGTACGCTTACAATTTTTATCTGTGGTACCTATCAAACTGATCAAGTGATGCCTAAATTAACCCATGAGATCTTGTTCCTACCCATAACAATGTAAACAAAATGATGACCTAAGTAACTCAAGTAATGCCCAATGATACATCTTCCTCTTTATGGTGGCCCAATCTATCTAGTAACTGAATGAAGACTTTCTTGCTATGTTTCTCCTCATTTTTCTCAATAAAGAAGGTGAAATTGACTACCAAGATAAAGCTTTTTGAAATATTTTCATTTAGATATTTCGGCTGTAAAGATCCAAACCGTCTTATGTCATTTTAAAATAATTCAATAAAGGATTACGTCATTGTAAGATCTAAACCATTCCATTCACTGTTTGTATAGTGTAAAAACAGAAGATAATGTCATTAAATTACTTTACATAAATTTGAAGCCCTCTATCAGGCTTCGAAGTGTCAAAGGTGTTAATTGCTGTCTTCATCATAGTCTTGTTGTCATTAAAAAACTTGACAATATTCCTTATTAGAGTTATTATCTCACATTCTAATTGTTTAATTTCTTTTTCTTTATTTTCTATGCAGCCCTATATCTGCAGAGATTGTCCCTGAAAAATCAAGAACAAGCATTTATGCTTTGGACAGATCTTTTGTGTCTGTGCTATCTTCGTTTGCACCCCCTACTGTTGGCATTTTAGCCGAGCATGTTTATGGATACAAACCAATTTTCTATGGGCCAAGTGAAAGTGCCAGTGTTGAGATTGACAGACAAAATGCTTCATCTCTGGCCAAAGCACTTTACACTGCAATAGCAATTCCTATGTTACTCTGTTGTTTCATATATTCCTTCTTGTACTGCACCTATCCAAGAGACAGGGAAAGGGCTCGAATGAATTTATTGAATGCATCAGAGATGCCGCAGATGGAGCTGGATGATGATCATGAAATGTTAGTAGAATCTTCTGGACTTCAGCTTTCTGAAAGAAGTGTGATTGATATAGCATATGGAGGAGAAGATTTTGAGACTGATGACAATGATGGGAGGGCATTGCTCTCACATAAAGTGGACTGATCAAATGGAAGGAGCATGTAAATGTAGAAACCTTGTCTTTCATAATATTGTACTTGTTCTATTTCATAATATTGTGTTTGGCACTCTCATATGATGATAGTATATGTGGGTTAATGTAAATTATAATTTGACCAATTGATAATGTGTGAAAATAACTTTATTTAATTACCCAATCCAGTTTCACTGTGACATTCCTTCAACATGAGTAATGAGTAATAAAGGACAACCTGTCTCTGGCACATTATTCATATCAATCATCAAGACCAATCCAGATAAACTCCTCATGTGAAATAATACCATGTGAGTGCCCATCTCACCAACACCATCCCTTTGTGTTGCCTTCTCTAGTCATTTCTGCTCTTCTCTATTCCTTCCTTTCTACAAAAGCAATGAGAGCTTCTCTCAAACCACTTGCTGATATCATATTTTCTTTGTCAGGATGGCTTAGAGGTGGTGGTGTCTGTCTCAAAGGCAGCAAAAAGCTCAAAAGGCCTCTCATCAGAGGCATTATATCATATGCCAGAATAAGGTGCCTTGTTGCTGCTTGACTTAGAAGCTATATGAGATCCTAATACCGCTCCTCTGTAAAGAACACTTTCTCAAGGCTAAGCCATGATCTGATATCATTTAGTAGGCGCCACATGCAAGCTTGATCTGAACAACACATAACAGAACTCTTCATGATGATTGAAAACTAGATTGCTGGATCTGGAAGGGATCCCTCTGCTACTTGTCCTCCACACAGTATCGGCCATTCCGGTTTCAGTAGCTGGCAAACCCAAGCATTGCTTGCTGCAGTTTTCTGCAAGTGTGAAGCAGAAGTTTAGGCTGAGGAACAGAGTGCTCTGCAGCTTGCATCTCTGCTTGAAGCACCAATGCCAGTTGTTTGAACCTATTTGTTTCTCTTGTTCTCCGTATAACTCACAAGTCAACGAGGAAAATGTCTTGTAGCAAGTGCTTCTAGATCATAGAAATTCCAATTTTACAGAGTAGGGCTCAGATTTGATACTGCAACTTGAGCTGGCATTGACATTGTGGTGCAAGTGGAGGAAGATATTAATATTGTGCTGCGGGTAGGTGTTCGCAGAAGACCAGCTTGGATGACAAGGTTAATCCAACCAAACACTTTCAGTGCGCGGTGAGAAGAGTTGAGCTTGAGGCAAAGCTGTAAATAGTTGTATATATCAGCTAAAGTTGCGGGAGTTGGGGAGTGATGACATCCACCCGCCACCTTCCCACGTGCCGTCGCTCGTCCTAAGTCCACTGAGTGGGCCCCACGGGGATCCGGTCACCGGCCTCGGCGACGTCACCCCAGTCCTCCGCCCCGCGTGTAATAGGCAATAACATATGTAACCCGTGTCGGATCAGACAGGGTCCAGGTTTAGTTTCTCATAGGTGCTAGTGGGGTCCGCCTCCACTGAGGCGATTGATCGAGCTGTGGATCCCACTTATTTTCGCATTGGTGGGTTCCCTGCTCGATCTCAGACAGCTATGCGCATGCCCTCCCGATAGCATCATTTTGGGAACGGTTCAGCAAAGGGTACGTCGTAGCGCCCAAATTATGTGCGCTCGCGGTTGGATGACCGCTTGCCCTTTATCTCACAGCTGCGGTACCGTGAGCGTCCTGCGCAAGACAGCGGTGACCCGACCCACAGTACATATAAAGATCAGGAAAAACGCCACGTGGTCTACGGAGATCGAGCGGAGAGAGAGAGGACTTCTTTTTTGTGTTCTTTTCTTTTTCCTTTGCCTCACACGCCCGTCCCCCTTCTCTTCCATTACTGCTAGGCCATTCCTCCGCAAGTCGGTCTAAGGCTCGCACGAAGAGGACGGGGAGGACGAGGAGAGATGGATCGTAGTACTCCGGTGAGGAAGTCGCACACCTCCACTGCCGATCTGCTGACGTGGTCGGAGACGCAGCCGACGGCGGCTGATCAGGCGACGCCGCCTTCCCGCCGGACCCTCAAGGTAAATGCAGGTCCCAAGACATTCTGCTGTTGTTCTTCTTTGGTGCTTCCGGCAGCGTAGGGCTTAACCTTGTGTTTCGTCTCAGCCGGCGGGAGGGATCACCCCGGTGATGTTCGGGGCGCAGATGTCCGCCGAGGAGGCCGAGAGCTTGAACAAAAGGTGAGAGATCAGGGCCAGCGGCTAGGGTTTTGAGCTGATCCTTGATAAGTGTGTTCCTGATTTATCAGTGAGATGGGTTTTCCCTATTTTTCTCTTCTTCCCTCTTTGCTTGGTTTAAATTCTCTGGTGAGGAGGTTCTGTTTTGATTTGCCTGCTTTCTTGATCTGGTCAAAAGATTGTTTTTTCCCTTAGCATTTAGGATGTCTGTTGTGCAATTAGGAAGTGAGCTTCCAGTCAATACTACTACAATAGATTTTGCTGGATGCTATTTGATAGGCTGCTAATGATCTGCTTGGTCGATGACTCAGCAGTTTTCCCCCTTTCCCTCACCCTGTTTTTCTCTGACTACTTCCTTTTCCAACTTTTTTTTCTAATGAAATTTTTGGTGGGTATCGATTGCATTATTCTATAGAATTGATCAGCAAAACTCTTCAAGTTTTAGTTAACTGAAATGTTTTGACTTGTGATCATACGCGCACTTCATTTTATGTCAAATGGGGAGGAAGTGAATAATAACAAATTTTAGGTCAGATTAAATATTAGAAGCTGATTGTACCTAACATTTCCACATTTCTGACTCCTTTCAGAAAGTTATTAAGGATAAATCGTAGTTACTGGAATCTCTTTGTCCCCCTTCCCATGATATTTTAGCATGCAATATTGTTGTGGCGTCTAACCAAGATTGTGAAATTGAGTTTCCAACCTTATTGATGTCATTATGTTTTATTAATAAAATCCATCTTAAGAGAAAAAGAAAATCTAGACATTCATATGCAATAGATTTCCTCAACACAAAAAGCTAAAAAGAACACAGAACTGACCGATAAAGAAAATAGGTAAAGAAAATAAATATCAAATTCATATATTCCGTATATTAGTATTGGTGTGTCACTTGTACTGAATTTGGGTTGCCAATATAAAATATTCATCTCACTTACCAAAAAGTTCAATCCTTGGTTGATTACTAAGACCGGAACATAACTTAGGCATTCTATAGTAGGCTATTCAAATTATATTTTAGCCCAAAGCAAGAGCCAACTAATCCTACCTTGCATGTACTGTGAACCAAGCTAAGTGGCAAACCTTGTGCCTTGTAGCTTGCATTCTAATGTAGGTTTGCATGTCTTTGTTATTGCTGTCTGCCAAGCTAATTGGTGCACCTTGTATCATGTCTTCTAGGATTTCTTTTCTGTGTATGTATGCGGTTGCAAACTGAAAATCCTTCCGTCTTCTAGGAAACCCTGTTCAAGCTCGAAAATGCGGGAGATGACTGGAAGTGGTATCTTTGCAGCAGAGAGTGAGAGTGATACAATGGAATCTGGCGATGCAGTTTCAAATCCTATTAGTAAGACAAGTGTGCGAATTTGTCAGGTAACTTTTTTTAGTTTGTTTGGACCCAGCCTTTCATTCATTATTTAATATTGATGGTGACCTATTGATGCTTCAATCTTTTCTTATTTGTATTCCAATCAAATGCCAAGAAATTAATTTAACAAAGTTAGGATTTGTGATATACAACGACCAAGGTTATGCATTTGCTTAACCAACACAACAAGTTCAATGTTAGCATTGGCATTTTGAATGTCGCAATTAAATTATTTAATTCGTTTACTTCATCAGACCTGAATTTATTCTTCTTATTTTATGCATCGTTCAATAGCGGTTTTGCTTAATCCAAGTCATGCTTGTAATGTATAATAATTTCACTTCATATAATGATCCTCAAATGCCTAGAGTGTGTCACTACTATTATTGCATGTAGATTAAATCAATTAATTTGTATTTTTGTCCATCAGCAAGCCGTTAGTGCAATTAGCCAGATCTCATTCAGTGCTGAAGAGACCGTTTCCACAAAGAAGCCTACTTCAATCGCTGAGGTAGCAAAGCAACGAGAGCTAAGTGGAACAACTGAGAGTGAGTTAGATGCTAAAGTCAAGAAGCAGCTGTCTGAAGCGAAGAACAAAGAGCTCAGTGGGCATGACATCTTTGGTCCTCCTCCTGAGGTTCCAGCCAGGCCGTTAGCTGCAAGGAATTTGGAGCTGAGGGGTCACTTGGATTTCGTCTTGCCGCAGCCTCGCAACATACATACATCAGTTAAAGTAACTAACGTAAGTGAGAGTATCAGTTAACCATGGCTTCCAATTTTATTTATTCTCACCTTCTTTCTACATTAAAGTGTGTCTTTCATTTGAATGCTTGTTTTTGTTATTCATTACCTACAATGCTCTCATTAGTATGCCGTCGTTCATTCACCTTTTCTTTGAATGCTTACCATGTTAAACTTTTAATTGGTGTTGTAGCCGGCTGGGGGTCCTAGCGATATCATTTTTAGTGAGGAAACCATCACCAAGACAACAAAGAAGATCCACACTCAGAAGTTCCAAGAGCTGACGGGCAATGACATATTTAAGGAAGATGCACCCCCGGGATCTGCTGAGAAGCCACTGAGCGAGGCAAAGCTAAGAGAGATGAGTGGCAGCGACATCTTTGCTGATGGGAAAGCTGCCTCCAGAGACTACTTCGGTGGAGTCCGTAAGCCTCCTGGTGGTGAGAGCAGCATTGCTCTGGTTTAGCTACCCTGACTTATGCATTAGCGCAGTCTGGCTTTCTAATCAATTTCCAAAACATGTTTGTATGGACTAATCAAACGCTCCATCTGCTTGGTTTAGTACTGTTTGGTTTTGACCACTCATATTTAGAGTGATCATGATGAACTTACCCAAGGAATGTTTTTGCTGTTATATTAGAGTTGTTATTATGGATCATGGCTCGAGGATGATGTTTGGTTAATATAGTAATTGCTGATTTCATGAAGTGATATTTTATATTATTATATTTATGATTTTTTTTTAAGAATAAACCATGAAGTCAGATTCGAGAGGGCAGCGTAGTATTTGTTTATCTGTTAACGTGACATTTATATAACTTCACAATGGGACCCACTACATTCCACCAATTAGATAGCCTTTTCGTTGGCTACGGTCTGCCGCTACGTGATCGATTAGCTGAAACGCTGATTACGTCATCAGTGGATGTCCAAGCTTCCATAGAAGAAGGATGGATGATGGATTGTACTTACCTCTCTCTCTCTCTCTCTCTCTCTCTCTCTCTCGGCACATCAATCCTGTTTACGCTGGATGGCTAATCTGTCTCTTTATCGTTCTTCCAGGTGCCATGATTTCCTATTAGCTCAGCGGAGGATGATGAGGAAGCCACGATTAGGTCTCAAAAATTCCTCTCTTACGTTACATGGCGAGTTCTGCGGCCTAATTAGCTCGCATTATGTGCTCCTCTGAAGAAAAAAAGGAGAAGCAGACAGTTCAACTTTTGTTTCTCGGCTACTTCCGATGGGCAATCTGCGACCGAAACGTGTTTGAAGAAATGTGCCTTCGAACATGGCCCGAGCATCGCGTGATCAACCATTATTTTCGATTTCCACCCTACCTGACAAGGGATGATGCATCAATGGGTGTGAAAGACCAGTCATCGGATGCCGCGAATCAGCGTGACGTAACCTGGTTCGACATTAAATGTTTTGTGGATTGCATGTGCCAGTGTCCACGCCTGGCGTCGAATCTCAGTATGTATTGTGACACCGAGATATCCATGCACGGTTGCCATTACTCCGCCGACCGAGCACCTTCGCTCGCCGCTAGCATTGTAGCAGGTCTTAGGTTTCCATTCCGTATAATGTTCTCTGCCGTAAATCAGATCTCAATCGTTTTCACTCTGATTGCAGACAACTCTTCCATAATATGATCCAAGAAATGCACCAAAGGCCTTCGATATGGCGGTAGGTCAGATCCAACAGGATCCTGATATTTCAAACATGGAAGCTGATGAAGATGACAATCGAGTGTTGGGATTTCTTTGTGAAGATGGAGGTAGAATCACTGTATCCATAATTCACTTTTAAGTGGAATTTCTTATGTATAGTGCTTCAGTAAAGCATTCTTCGTGGTCTCCAGCGAGCACAGTGGAGTTTCCTCAACTACATTCCTTGGTAGTGCCGCTGTTCTGACGAGGTCTTCATAGCTGATCCGTTCTCTCAGGCATCAAGTTTCTCTTTTTGAGGTATTGAAATCTCATTCGATTCTTGTGCACTTGAGAATCATGATTTCACATTATTTTTCCTTGTATAAATACTAGCTCTGTTCTACGGTGAGTAACTCATAGAGTAATATGTGTGATTAAAATCCTCTTTCAGATGAATAGCTCAAAACCTTCCCAACTAGGCTTTTTTGCAGGAAAAGTTTGAGCCAGAACATGGAGAAGAAGACATGGCACTCCACCACTTCTGCTACTCCATTGGATACAGCTGCGTTCCATCTCGGAAAAGAAGAAATCCGACAAGGTTCGCATCACTGTCCCCACCACAACTTTATGAGTCTTCCTTAAGCACAAAACATAAGTAGACGATTCATGGTAACTTTTACTGTCACTGAGCTGAATCTTTAGTTGCTGCAAGAATCTTGAACCAAAAGTAGGACAGTAACTATAAAAGATACTGTACATGGGGATTGAGAGAATTCCAAATCAAACCACCTCTATATACCTTGGATTTTACCCAAGCAAAGGAGATGAGAACAAGAAGAACCACACCGAATTGTAGCACACATGCACAAGTGTATATATAGATATGTTTCATAGTAAGAAGACTGGAAAGAAGCATGGAGATTACCAGTCTCCACATGCATAAAGTGAATCAACTCATCACCACCACCTTCCGCCTCTGTCATCTTCTCCAGCTGCGGCTCCTCGCCAGTGGATCCATGCTTCCGACGACCCAAGTCTCCTTTGCGATGTCCGTCGAGATCTTGAAGAAGTCGGGAGCGTAGCTCATTAGAACCAACCTTTCCTTGTCCTTCTCCTCCTCTTTGGTCATCTGTGCAGTCACCTCCTCTCCTGCTTCATCTTCTGTTTCTTCTTCTCCACTTCGCTTGAGCCACCCTTTTGCCGGTGCCGATCGGCATCTCATCAGCAGGAGCGCATTTGGAGGTGGCGCGGAAGAAGGTGGTGCTTTGCATTCATCTCTCTCTGCCTCCTCCTCCTCCTCCTCCTCTTCTTCTTCTTCCTCATCCTCAGCCTCTTCTTCTTGTACTTCTTCCTTGCCTTCTTTCTTACATCCTGTACCTTGGTTCTCTTCCACCAGCATGAACCACTTTGAGAACATTGTTCTAGACGCAGTGCTGGTCTCTGCTTCCTCCTCCTCCTGCTCTTCTTCGCATCCCTCGCCGTCTTCCTCATCGGTTATGCAATCCACCGGGCCTTGGAATGCGCCGAAGCACCGCATGTTGAAGCGGAGGCCTCGGAGGGCGCCGATGACATGCATGATGTCCTTCTTGAGGCTACCCGTGTCTAGCCAATGAGCCCTCTTCCGTTGCTTGTGCAGCCTCTCGATCTGCTCCACCACAGAGAGCCAATTCTTGTCGCCGCCACCACTCGGAGGCGGCCTTGTCGTGGACTTGGGCCTCACCTTGATCTGACCAGCGCATGTAACCTTGGGGGACGTCGGCTCCGCGATCTCCGAGCTCATGCTCTTGCTTTTGGTCCTGAAGAGGGGACTCACCTGGCCACGAGTTCCAGACCTCGCCTGGTGGCGCTTTCCGGCTTCGGCTGTCCGAGAGGGACTGCATATCGGCTTCGGCATCAATGTCAGGTGTGCTCGGGACGGAAAGCAGACAAGAAGGTCTGTCGGAGCTCCTCCACTTCCTCCCACTCTTCGCTTCATCTCTCTCTAACTCTGTAACTCTCTCTCCCTCTCTCTCTCTCTCTCTTTCTCTAGTTTCTTTCCATCTCCTAGCTCTGTAGTTTGCTACGGCATGTTAGAGGAGGTGAAGGGTGGATTAAAAGGGAGGGGTGTGCCAGCTTTGCTCTGTTCCTTTGGTTCTTATTTTAGTCTCTCTACACCTTTATTACTTTCTCTCTTCATTTTGCTTTTGGCTGGCCATCACGGGGTGAGGGCTCACCTCCTTTTGTGGGAGTAGGGGGCAGTAGCTTTTTGGATCCCATGTTTAATACATGTAGTTGGCCATAACACTCGATTCATCATCCAATTTAAAACCCTACCTACCTACCAACTAATGATGTATGCAGGATCTTTAAGATCAAAGGTAAGCTTCATGGTTTTCTTTGTTTCTTTTCTCACATTCATCTGCATGCAATTGGTCTCTCATTCAGCTGAAGAGTGTTCTTTTCTTAACTATGACTAGAACAAGCAACCTTGTGGTTCAAGTAAATTGGGCTGGTGGCTTGGTTGGTTGGAGTGGGGAGTAACTAATTGTGAGTCATTATAATAGCCACTTTCTAAGATTCTTGCCTTTTTCTCTCCAATAATCTACCAAGTGAATACTATAAAAAAAAGACAAATTACAGATCTTTTGAACTAATTATCTCTCTAAATTTAATTACAATCCTTACATCTCGTATTAACAATCGAAGGATGATTATTCGTCCTGAAACCTAGAATACAAGATGAACAATTTCTACATCAAGAATCATTTGCAACTTCACAACCACTAAAGAAGAGTATTTATCAATCAATACTGGAATTATTCTCTTCATAGTTGCACACAACCATTCTATCACTACAGTGTGGCAATTCATTGTTTATCCTAACAAACAAGAGTGAGGAGGCCAAGCTAAAACACCTACTAGATCAGTTGATGACTTAATAATTGAACTCAATCAACAAAAGAAAAGGACTCGAGGCTTTTGTTTATCTTCCAAAGAGGTTGAAGCACTTTAAAATTCATACATGTTCTTGAGCATCAGCTGAACTGGTTTGTATTTTGTTGCAGTATCATGTTGCAGCACATACATCATAACTGGGAAGCCTAGAGAAGAGGGAGTGGTCCTAATCGAGGGATATGCCTGAGCACAAATGGTTATCTCCTATTCTCCTTCAAAACAAGGACAACAGTTTCATTATGCTGCTTGCTGTCAACTATTTTGCTTCTCTCCTTCAGAGGTTTTGTTTAAGCAAATGTTGCTTAATGATAAAGGTTGGGTGAAGATAATTTGGTATTATTGTGTGTAAAGGGTGGGTGGCTAAAGAAGAGATGCAATCATGAAAGAGGCAATGCACTTGAGGGCATGGATGAGAGTGGCCCTCATCACCAGTGTTCCTGTGGTTGATTGCAATCAGCTTTGTTGGGGAACCTTCTCAATGCCTGCTTTCCAAGTGCTAAGGGGATGTAAAGCTCTGGAGGTGCTATCTGTTCTCTCTGTTGAGTTTGCTTTGGTATTCAGAGCTTGTGATGCTATAAACTCATCAAATAGGATTTGTACTGAGATCATTATACAAAAGTTTGATCTGGTCTGAAGTGGGTCAGTAGAGATCTGTGAGAGAGATATCATGCAGAATGAAGCTATCAGCAAGAAGAGGTCTTTAAAGTTGAACAGGAAAGTGGAGAGTAAGTCAAGTTTGATACAGTTCTGTCAAGATTAAAACAGGAACTTATCAGCAAAGCATCCACACTTGTACAGAATTCATTGTGGCAATGTTTCACAGGAGGAGATCCCATGAACAAGACATGTCTCAGTAGCCATGCAAGCAGCTGAAAGCTACCACAGTTGAAACCTTTCTCTCAGAGGTGTGAGAAGGTAGGTAGGTAGGTCCACCTTTATCGAGCTCAATTCCTTGCTCTAGCTGTTTGACTGACCACAAGAATGAACTAGAGAAATGTTGAGTGTCTTAAACTAGATAAATGTTGCATTTGTTACCACTAGAGAGTGGACATAATTATTATTATCATACAAATATGCCTAAACCCCAATTTGAATTTTGGACTATCAATGGTGTTACTATAAAAAAATTTTGACACTTTGCCAGTGGAGATGCTACAAATCCAAGGATCAATTAGAAACCACTTTAAGCTTGTCTATACTCCGAGACAAAGGCTTGGTGGGCTATGTTCCCAAGGTGATATGGACAATAGAGGCCCCAAAGAGAATTGGAGTGATTAAGGCCATCCCATATAAGAATTTGGGTTGGATGATTTTATAGACATTACATTTTAGACCTTGGCAGGCAGTCATTAACAATTGCTAATATGTTTGAAGAGAAAAATGTTCTGCATCCCTGTTAGGTCAATCAAAGTTTGGTTTCATAGTTTCAAGATGAATGCTTGAAAGTGAAGAATGCTTTTATCAGATGTTGCTGAACTGTCTGCAAAATAGTTTTACGGTTGTGGAAGGTCTCACTACTTCCATGAATCTAGTCTGAGGTTTTATGCAATGTGTTCTTGATGTAATAATAACCCAATAAAGGACATTAGTCTTGACATTTATATCGTTTTCGACACCAACATAGTTTAGACCAACTTGAAGGTGCAGATCTGATGATCATGAAATGGAGACTAAATATTCTGTTGTCATAATCTTGAGCAACTGGATACTTCCAACTTCTTTTGTATCAGAAATCTTTCATTGGATAGCTGCTTGTGATGCTGAATCAATTCCAGGCCCACAAAGAATTCTATGTTAGGAGACAGCACAATTCTAGTCACTCACATTATGCTTTATGATCATGATGCAGTGAATTGATTCAGATTTTATCTATGAAAGTGACATCTGTGGTTAAAACTCTTCTGATGTCCCCTTTAGGTTCTTTTGATGTTCTCCATGGTGAAATTTCCACCATCTTTCCTCTTAGAAAAATTAAAAGTTCCTCCAGCTTTAGGAAAGAAATCATATCTAATTTTGTTGGCTTAACTATTATTAGTCCGATTACCGGTTACATTACTAGAGAATCCATGATTACTTCTTCTCCTGTGCTTCCATTCTCGGCTCATTCATCAGTCACTGGCCTTGAAGTTGCAAGGTTTTTACAGAGGAAAAGATGGCTACAATAGTTTGATGTGCTTCAAAATCTATCATATAGAGTAGACTTTTCAAAGTACAATCATCAACCACAATTAGTTCGATAAATTTAGATTCGAATTCCATAACAAATGGAACTCTCAAAACATATCAAAGCGTATGATTCATGACTTCACCATGCACAATGGTCTGCCGGCGTGCCATGTTCACTGATTCCTTGTGTGATACTGAGCTTACAAGAAATTATACGCGGAAACAGAGGAAAAGATCTCTGTGATTCTCTATTGTTCAAAAGCCAACACCAAATCCAAAGAAAAGCTGAGGTTTCAGAGAAGAAATCCGCAAGGATTGACTTGCACGAGGTTACCAATTTGCATGCCGATTGCAGAGACCGAGAGTTCATGTCCACATCAAGTCCATGCAAATCCCCTGCTACAATAATATGGTTGCCACCGTGGTTTATCCATTGCATGTGGGTTGAACGATGCAGAGTTGGGCTCGCAAGTTCTTATTCGGCAGTATCTAATCTGCCTCGTAGCAGCCTGATTTTTCAGATTTCTTCCTCGTGCCACAGTAACGTGACTTCTCCAAACTCAGCATCGTTTTAATTCTACTGTAGACGAGGTGTTCGAGTATTGATGATTGGTGGCGGATGCTGCAATGGAAGGCACTGTTGGTAACACCAATAATGGGGCCAAACCGGGGGCTTTGTTTATCTGTGTTTGGGCACCAATGATGAGCTGCATGCAGTGGGCGACCTCTTTACACGCCGGAAAGAGGGGGGGAGGGCTGTGGAAATGGCATCGCGGCATGTTGCCGACTCCCCCATTCCCAAACCAGTCGTGCCCAAAGGCATGAGGACTGAAGTGGAATCCAACTCCTCTCCCAACCACGACTTCCTTTACACCTTAGTTGGTGCCTCTCTTTCTGGAAATCCCCTGATCCAAACACATAAACCAAGCGGAGGCCATTAACAATGATGGGATTCCACTCCCTCGTCTGAGGAGGCACTGATCACGATCCAAGGTGGCCAATGGTGGAGTTGTGATCTTGCGTTGAGCAGCACAGGTGGTGGTCGTCTTCTTTCCCTCGAAATTACAATCTTGTGGGGGCTGCTAAGCAACCGAGGTCATGTGCTGTGTCTTTTATCTGATCAAGCACACAATTCTTGCAGCTTTGCTTTCCTTATATTAATGGTTTCTCTTGCACCCTATAATGGTTGCAGTCAATATTCTACTTCCAAGGATCTTTTTTCCTGGTACACTGAGCTGGAGATCTCCATGATAGCCTCAAGAACTCAGCAACGACCAGTCTTATTTAGGAGTCTGCGTGGAGGTGGGAGGCAAAGAAGACAACTTTAGTCCGATGGAGAAGACTAGTGCAGAGTCATTGTGTCACGCTTGCATTGGCTTCCATCTGATGGACGTGACTAATTCTATTCCCAATACCTCTGCTGGCTCTCTTGCTGTCACCAACAATTTAAGCTTCCCTACCTGGAACTGTCTCATGATCTGCCACCAAAAGCATATATCCCTGTAAACAAAGCATGAGAGGCAACTGTGACAGCTTCCTATGCGGAGGAGCTTGGATCTTCTTTAAGATAAGATTCTCTTTGTCCTCACATGTTAATATGTTTTACTCAACAGATGCACACCTCCCAAACTTGCTTCTGCATCAACTGAAGCAGATAAGGTCAACCCAGCCACTGGTTGGACAAGAACAAGATGGTAAACATGGCACTACTACCATCATCATCATCATCATCATGGTTTCTCATTGATGGGCTCATGGGATGGATGCTGTGGCTGGTGGATTTGAATGTGGACTGCACAGAGATGATAGGGTAGTTTCTCAACTCATAATGTTACTGGTGGATGTTTTCTAGTGCTGCGAGTGTCATCCATTAAGGTTGAACTTTTGACATGATGGTCCCCTTGGCATTCATTAGTTCCTTTACAACCATGAGCCATTGTATGATAAAGCTTCAATGCTATTGTCTCAAGGAACAAGCCATAAATTATGAGAAATTAATCTTCTATGATTGGGATCCATGTCCTTGTATCTGCTAAATTCTCAATCATAGAAATTGAAGGACCACCTGAACTTGTTTAGTCTCCACCTTTCTACCTATCATGAATTCATCACTTTAAATCTTTGTTTCTCTCCAGTGGAGAATCTTAACACCTGATTTAATTTAAGACCATTCAGCTACCAAGAGTATGTCCATATCAATGAACTAATAGGCACATGAAACAACAGGAACTGGACATGGATGTACTGTAGAATCTGGCAGGAGCAGTGTCGAGTTCATTGCACTTTTTCACGCGACACTGTCAGATCATTCTGTAGAGCACAATAGAGATCACAATTCAAGCCAATTTATGTACTGCCGCACTGCATGTGTTTGCTCATGCATCACCGTGCCACTATATCCACTGCAAGAAATGAGAGAGACGCTTCGAGTTAATTCTTTGTGATCATTTGGAGTTGCCATCCGCATTCACTGTAATGGCGGAAAAGAAAACAAATGCTATTTCTTCTTCCTCAGTTGTACACAGATCTAATTACAGATTTCAGCTGCCTGTGCAGAGGGAAGAAAGCTCGAGTTGCAGAGCCTTTCAAGCCCGAGAAAGGAAGGAGTAAAGGAGGAATACAGAAGTCGTGCCTCTACGTCTTCAGAGGTGCATTATTGTTCCTGAAACAAAGGCGGGGGGGGGATCACATGAACTCCCATTTCATTCAGTGCCATGAGACCCTCAAGCTTTCGCAGAGGTGGCGCAGCAACAGGAGCTCGTATCCTATCTACACCTTCGACAGAGCCTTCATCGTCGGGCGCTTCCACTCCACCAGCCGCACCAAGAAGTCCTTCACCTGCACAGACACACCAAGAACCATGTCATCACTCGTACTCGACCGGGGGAGATACATCACCTCTTGCCATCTTGTCACCGTCATCATCTTACCTCGGTCGGCTCCTGCAGCGAGTAAGTAGCATTCGTTTCCTTGGGGAACTTGGAAACAAGGATGCCGAGGCCCTGCCCACGGTCTCGCAGAACCTGAGATGAGCACACACCATTAGCCTCCTCTCGATATCACCGGCTGACAAGCGACGCAGAGGTGCAGATTCATGTACCTTGAAGGCATCTTCATCGGTGCGATCATCTCCGATGTAGACCGGCATTACGTCCTTGCAGTCCGCAAATCCTGTGCACGGAAGAGACTGTTAGAACGAGCGGCTCTCATCACAGGCCGACGGCCGACAAAAACTGACGGTTTTGCGCCGAATAGCATCGACGAACCAAACTAGTGAAAACGATGTGATGTAACGCATGTTTGGGCTGTTTTCTCAGCTTACCGAGTGACTCCAATAGGAACTCCAACGCCTTCCCCTTGTCCCACTTAATAGTTGGACGAATCTCCAGAACCTAAAGGCTCGGCCACCAAAGAGACAGTGTCACCATCATGTTTTAGCTGAACAGTGGCTTGTGATACTCCACAAAACGAGTAGTGTTGTTGGCTAATGGAATCAGACGGAATTCTCACCTTTCTTCCTTGTGTGAGCCGAAGTTTGGGGTACTCCTTCAACACAGACCTCACCTGCTCGATCAGTGCACCCCAGCTCTGCAGAGTGTCGATGCAGAATGAGGTGAGCTCATGGTTTCCGTTTCTGGCATAAATTAGGAAGCAGGTGCTCAAATCCGACACGAAATCTAACCTTTTCATCCACACATCTGAAGTGGACAGACACGCAGAACTTGTTGTTCTCCACCTTGGCGCCAGCCGTGGATTTGGTTCTCTCCAGCAGAGATCTGTAGACCTGAGGAAAGGTAGAGGATGTTAGCAGGGAGAGAAGATGTTGAGGATTGATGGAGAGGAGCTGGGAAGAGGAACCGACCCCATCTATCATGGGGAGGAACTCGCGAGCTGGTTGAAAGAGAACCGATTTGGCCTGAACCACACAAAATGAGAGGAAAAGATAAGCATGCCCAAGGGGGGAATTCTGTAAGAAAAGGATGGAAGAATCTGATGGTATTCGAGATTTTGCGACAAGGTGGGAGGAGCGCCTACCTTGGCCTTGGTGTGCCGGGGCTTCGCCGGGCCCTTGATGTCCATGCCGTGGCTACCGGCGTAGTATAGCTCCGTCAATCCCACGAAGTCAATGACCTGTAGGACGCCGTTGGAACCACGGAGTCAGGGAAGAAACAGAGGACGCGAGGAAACCGAGCGGTGAGATGGAAATGTACCTTTTCCAGGCATCGCCCGGTAACGATCGCGGTAGGGAAGTATCTCGCCACGTTCCTCACTGCCGCTCTCATCTAACGTCGCCATAGCAACAGGGAAACGATCGAGATGTCATCTTTAAGCAGGGGACAATGGAACAGGAGGTAGGAGAAGAGCGAAGGGTTCACCGCGTCGGTCATGAAGGCGGAGTCAGGGTCTTCGACGATGGGTGAGAGCGTGCCGTCATAATCCAGGAACATCACGATCTGCTTCCCTTTGGAGGCGCTCATGATTTGCTCGAACTTGGTCAAAGCCGAGGGGTGCCGCATCTACTCGGAGGAAAAGAGAATTAGCAACCAGCGAACTGCAACCATGAGACGAACCGATGGGGAACAGCACTCACGATCCACGCGGCGGACTGCTCATCGACGGGAACTCCGATGGCGCCGACCGCCTTGGTGTGGGTGGGCGAGGAGGCCTTCATGGACTCCACCCACGTGCCGATCCTGCCGCCGGCGAAGTCGAGCTGGGAGAGGTACTTCTTCTGGAAGGATCGCGGGGGCGGGTAGGGGTACAGGGGGGACGAGCTCGCCACCGCGGCCGCGGCCGTGATGGCCGCCACGGCTTCCGCCGGCACGACATTCTGCTTCGTCATCGCGGCGCCGGGAACGCTCTCGGATCGGGAACGAGAAGGCCGGTTGCCGAGGGCGAGATATCGGATCGAAGGTAGAAAGGGGGAGGGGGGGAGGGGGAAGGAGGAAAGGTCGGATCTTTGTCGTCCTCCTCGTCTAAAAATGGGATTTTTATGGGTGCCGTTGTGGGACTCGGAGCGATGGAAGTGGCGAGAAGGAGGGAGGGGCGGATTTATAGGATGGGGAGGGACGAGGAGGATCCCTGGGGCGCGGGCCCCGCGCATGGACGGGTGGGGCCCCTTGTCCACTCATCCCCCACGTGCCGGCCCACCCGTTTAGGTATCTCCCTGTTCCGGAACAGCGGATCCTTGGAACATAACTATGCATATGAAATAGTGGCAAAACATTATTGACAAGAAGAATTAATTGAAGTATGCAATCAATGATGTTTGAATTATCTCGAGATCAATATCATCAGTCATGCTAAGTGTCATCGAATGATTATTATTTCTCAATATCATTGTTTCCTCTACGTAGATGCAAAGCCCCCAAAATAAATATACATATGTGTTGCATGTGTTAGCTTCATAGGAGGGATAAATGAGTCATTTGGTTAGCCACCTTTGAAAGCTGGTTTGACTCATTCGATCTTTTCTTACCATGCTAATACATCATCAATACATCCTTCTTGGAAGCTTCTTAGGGAACCAAATACTTATTCTTTATGTTCTTTACCTAAAAGGCATGGAGTTGGGACTTTTCTGTTCCTTTTCTTTGGTTCTTCTTTTTTTTTTTTATTAATCAATTTTTTTAATATTTTTAATCAAATTTGAGCCGATAATAAATAGAAAATTAGATATCTAATTTGGGTTTAGATTCTTTGCAATTCATGAGTAACTTATCGAAATAATAATAACAACTATATTCGACTATTTAAGTCGATAGAAAAATAAGTATCTTAATCGAATTCATACTCGATTTTATAAACATAAATAGTTAGTGGAGATAAGGAATTGAGAATTTATTTTTAATAAATATTTTTATTTAAAAGAATTATACTATAGTTCTAATTATTTCTCGTTTGATCATTGTCTAAAACTAAATTTTGTATTGTATCAACACATCATATTACTAAGTGAATATGAAATCTTTCTCAAAGTAGATTTTATATCCAATGAAGTATAAATTTATACTAAATGGTTTGACATCATTTCCCAAGGTTCATGTTATTTTCTATAATTGTGAATTTATAGCGAGGAGGAACTATAAAGCCAACCCCATCTATCATTTGTAGGGAAAACATCACATCGAGAGGAGCTCAACAACTTGATCAAGGTTTGATTGATTTGTGATGGAAACCATCACATCGATGGAAATTAAACTCCGTGCTCGTCCAATTGGGATAATGTGCTGTAGATTTACTTGTATATGTTTCATTTAAGAACCTTGATGGGATGCTTCGCAAAGTATATTTATATTTCTAGAAATATAATCATGTAATCCGATGTTGACCAACCAGAAATCGACACATGGTATCGAATACATAATGATTGAAAGAAAAGAATAAAATCTCTTACAATATTTATACATCGGGTTCATTCACCACTTGGCATTATCAAGTTCGGGTGGGTCCAATCGAGCTGGATTGGGAGAAGACAATAATGATAATGAGATTGACTTGAATTGACTCACCAGTCAAGTTTCTTAACTCGTCTTAATTGTTAGGGTTTAAAATATAGTATACTTTTTAAAGAAAATTTTAATCTTTTGGGATTATTAGTCACTCATTTTTTAATGAATATCATGTTATGAGTGAATCTTCTATTTGATATTCGATAAATATTTATCAATGTCTTCCTCTCTTATTAGTTTATATCATGCACTTATTAATAGTTTGGATAATCCTGTGGCACATACATATCATATATTATAGAATTTTGAGGAGTTACATTGGATGAGAAACTAAACTAATAAAGTTTGAAGATAGATAAAGATATCTGTTTTTTTGTGTTGTCGACTTTGATAGAAGATATCACAAAAAAATAATATTCATATTTTTCTTATATCTTTAATCAATCTATGATTCGAGGATCAATCATATATTAGAATAACTAATTTGATTATGACTGATTAAGAAAAATTTATCTCTCAAAATTTATATGAATACTTTTTATCTTAATAAATATATATATATATATATATATATATATAATGATTTCAAGTCAAATTGAGTTGATAGAAGGAGAAGGTCAAAACATACACTTTCGCTCATGTACATGTAGTAACACAAATATATGTCGCAGGAAATGTAGATTAGCATTCCATGGAACACATAGCGGTCAAAGATGAATATAGAAGAGAGTTAAAGATTGAGCTACATGTGTTGTAAGGGTCTGCTTGTTTGCTTGCAATTGCCTGGAGAAGACAACTCTGAGCTTTGTGTGCCCTTTCTTGTCGGCGACCCGTCGAACCTGAACAGAGAGAGCAGCAACCATGTCGTCTTGCGTGTCTTCTGCGTCCTCTCCATAGCAACCACGTCCCTACCCCTCGTCGGTGCACCCTGCATGGCGGTGACGTGGGAGTCTGTCAGATCCTCTGATGTGAACGATGCAGGTGATCGGCGGAGATGGGACGGGACGCGCTTCAGTAGATATGATCTTCCTCGGCCGCTGCAAATTCCATGTCACCGTAACCTAACCCTAGCTGTTACTGCTGCTTCGGCTGTGTGCGAGCTCGGTGTGCAGAGCCCACGGCACCGGATCACCCACCGCGCAGACTCCGAGAAGGATACTCGCGTTAGGGTTTCAGCGACATGTCGGAGGTTGACAAGACGCGACGTGAGCGTATTGCGTTTGGCATGGCGCCACGTGTCCTTCGCATTTAATACACGAGGATGCAACAACGATACTGGAAATACTTCATGTACAAGTATATGTACGTTCTATACACATACGCATGTCCGTACTAAACTATGCTCAGTACTTACGTATATTATCTCAACTAGGGATTATTGAACCCACTATATCATGTATTATATTTCATCACTGTCTTATTTGAGGGATTTTTGTTAGATATGCTCCTGTCAAACTCGTTTATCAATAAAATTTAGTGGACTCGAACACGAACCAAAGATTGACTTGTTGACTTCACGACTAAGATACATTTGGTCTTCGACGTTAATACATTCATAGTCAACGAGATTCTTGGAACAGATGAGTATCCTCCCGTGCGTCACCATCTCATGCGCATGGCTGTTTCCACCTCATGCAGGTCAACCAAGCACGGGATGGTCAAAGCCGGTGGGCGTCGACCAGGGAGACGAGCCAATTTAATTGAACGGCCAATCGAGTCAATAATTTTGACCATGGCTCCATTCACTCCACTGGTCGACGGGTTTCCGGAGAGTGTGACATGAGTCGTTGCGCTGCCCAACGCACATCACGTAGGAACAAGGCTGAAATCAGCGCGATTGATTTGAGATGATAAACGGTCGGATGGAGTCAGATCTTGGAGCATTCGGATGGAGACAGGTCCGATAGTGTCACCCAAAGCGGACCCGTTTCGAGAGGCGATTGGTCCAAGAGAGCTCACCTAGTCGGATCCTTGAGGACGGGTCACACATCAGGGAGTTGTCTCCACCTGCAAGTAGGAAGCTTACAAACTGATGTATCGCCATCATCCCAATCATTATTGTATGGTCAGCAAGACACTAATTCATATTGATAATGAAAATATACACAAAGACTTTGATAATCGAAAAAATAAATTTTCCTCCATAAGAATATTATCAACATAAAAAATGGTCTTTTGCATGGACTTTTCAGCCGCAATACGTAATGATAAGTGTTTCACTTTGTGCTCTTAAGAACAAGAATCCTCCTCAAGCACGCGTCATGATGCTTCCATGATCACCACCTTGATCTCATGTGTGTGTACTCTTCCATCGAATGATCACTAAATCATGGTGGGACAAGAAAAATCAATGGCCGATCCTCCCGTGGAGATGCACAAGTGGAGAATGAAGGTGGAAGTAGCAAACCTGTGTATTCATTCTATGGAGGGTTGCATCTATTTGGGTGGATGATCAATGGTATCATCCCCAATGGAAAGGAGGATTCCTAACATAGATGGGGACATGCATGCGATGATATATCTGTGCATGAAATGACACCGACATGTTGATCAAGTTGGCCGCCACTCGATGCATGCGACATGGAGGAGGAGAATCCAAAATTTTCCATCCATCCCTGATGGGGACGACCAATTTCCGGAGGTTGATGACGGGACAAAACGCCTCTTTTGAGCACGTTCAACACCAAAAGATGAGGCTCGGGTGGCTGACAAAGAGCTCGGCGTGGCCTCCACCGCTGTCACGGCGCCCCGGATGCTATTGGTCCGTCCCATCGCTGACTCGGCCGGGACCCACCGATGCCTCACATCCATCCAATTACGACAAGGTAGTCAAGTCGGAATAAGGTTATCGAGGATCAACGTTTCCTTCTTGATTTGGACACGAGATATGTTATCGGAGATCGGTATATTGGAACAGGTTGATTAATTTGATTGAGTTTACTGTTCAATATTTTTTGTTTTTATATGATCAAATACTGTTAAAAGTTGGGGGTTATATAAGGGTTGTTCATTAACTGTTTGAGTGAGATCTTCTTCCCCACCTTTATATATGTCTCAAGGATCATGCATTCAGAATGGGACAAAATCTAACTTCACCTTTCCCACAGTTCAATGAATTTTTCCTCTCCCAGTGGTTTCTTCACTCACTTTAATCATTGGACAATCTATTCTTGGAATCTTCCGCAACTAAAATGCCAAAAAAACAAAAAAAAGAAGAAGAATCATGATTATGGGGGAAGCTAAAGAGTCGATGACACCTTTGACAAGAAATGAGTGCTTCATGAGTGAGTAGGAACTTTCCAATCGCATACACATCTATGCATATTATTATTGTATGTGTCAATCTCATGCATGAGACTGATGATGCATGAAAGAAAGCAAACAGCTGCTTAGCTCACACAAGGCTCCAAAAGCTAATAAACAAGTGACTGATCTCACTGTCAGAAAAAGAAAGGTAAATCTGAGTCATAAACATGTGGACTAGCAGAAGTACACCAAGGATTTCAATTATATATCCCAGGCAAAAGCAATCCAAGCTTGATCAGGTGTGATATGATGTCCACTTTGGTGCTCTGGATAAACATAATTTGATGAGATAATTGCGAGCACAAAGATTGCTGATATATGACCTGACAAGAACAGTAAAGGTTGGCTCGACTAGTTTTAGTCCTTACTGTGCAAGAAAATGCATGTTTATCATCAATATTTAAGGTGGGATTTCTCAATCAACCATGGAGGACAAAGACCAGTGGGAGCTTCTTGTTTCTTCCTGAAAAAGGCTTAGCAAGTTCTTCAGGAATATAAATCATAAAACTCCACAAAGAAAATGATCCATTAGGTTATGTTGATCAACATATAGCATCAGGTTTTAGTTTCTAAAACATAATCACTGACATGTGATATAGCTCCATAAACTGATTGGATACCCAACAGATATTTGAAGCTAGCAAGTGCAGTAGAAAACTTGGATGAAGCCATGCATGATGAAAAAGCAACTTTAGAAGAAGAATGCAAGGAAATGGAATTGCTTGTCGACAGCTCATTCTCGTGAGCCCACCTAATCTCTAGGACGTCTTTGGATTTTTATGCCCCACAAGAAATCCAAATCCAACAATTGAGATATCTCCTAGGTTTTCACATGTTTTTGGTCTTCCTTTCTTTCTCCTTTTCTTGCTCGCAAGGTAAACAAAAAGTCATGCGCAGGAAAACCTGGCTTTATCTTTCTAGCTCAAGTGTCATGATTCAGATCAGATTTGGACAGCACTAGCAGAAACCCCCCCTTTCCTTGGTTATCCCTTTGGGAATGCAGGTATCCATAGACTTGTCGTCGTCGTTATCTTCGCATCATCTTTCAACCCCACTGGATGGAGCTTAGAGGGAGGCTGAAAACATTCCCTTTCATGAACTACTGGTGATGGCAGCTTCAGGAATTGATTCCTCTTTCAATTATTGTACAGCTCCAATTATATACGATCAGATCTGCATACATTCTGAAACAATTTTGGTTGCATTAATAAGAAAAGATCTATACATGACTTTTGCAGGTCAATTGTAGAATTGATATTTGGTCAAGTGGACAGAAGCCAAGCCAAATTTGCACATCATTGACCTCATCTAGACATTCTAGCTAGGATGGCAAACTGCCCCCCACAATGGTCTCAAGATTTCCTGTTTTGTAGGGCAACTTTTTGCCTCTAATACTTTTGGGAAGTAAAGATGACTTTTGACCCCCCAAAAAAAAATTTAAGTGTGAGAATAATTGCCTTTTCTTGATAAACACAAAGAAAGTAAAATGTATATATGCTTCTCGTCGACAAACAAATACTACACTGCTTACTTATTGGTATCATTTTTCATTGTTATCTTGCTGGAAATAAACTGGTAATGACAAGTGGGTGAGTTGGGGACATCCACATGCCTTTGTGATCTCTACTTCTTTTGACAGAAACACACCTTCCAGGAATCCTCTTGTCAGACTACTTTTATGCCCTACCTTGAATTCGTCAGAACCTTCAACTGTTAATGTTTCTTCATTCCAATATTCTAACTCTACTCCAACCTTCTCTGTTCCTGGAGGTTTCCAGTGTTTCTGTCTCTCACATAGGTCATCAGAATCCATGCATGCATTTGACAGTCCCATGGAGATGCAGATATGCCTCCAACACCTTCCCACCTTCCAAGAATCCATTCGCAAAGTAAACTGATCCTTCTCTGCCGAACGCTGGATTCTAACCCCTCATGCAAGTATGCCACATCTATTCACATTCTTCGTTCCAACACCTCAAGTCAACCGAAGCCTGAGACCTTATTTTCTATCGAGATCCAATTCCCATGCTTCACGCTTTTCATGTTCTTTGAAATCTTCGCCCATGACATGGAAGTTTACGATGAATTCGGTGGCGTGGGTAGGCACATATCCTTTATTCGCTATTCCCCATATCGGACAGCGTGGTTGTGCCTTGACGATAAGCCATCTTCTTCGTCGGTGGTGCTCTCAACCTTTCATGGCTGTCGTAAGACATGCATGGCACTGATCGTGAACTTTCCTGCGATTCTTCTTGGGGATGGAAGAGAAGGTGTGATGTGGGGATCGAGAGTGGAAGAATAACCCTCAGACGTGGCCCTCTTGATGGCAAGTGCAGCTAATAATATTCACGCTCTTGCATGTGAAAAGGCGTTAGCTTTCGGCGGCTTTAGCTATGATGAGGTTTGGAATCTTACTGTCCATGGCACACATATGACCGCCAATGTCTTCCGGTGTTCTTATTCCCAGTGGTCTTCCCATGGTCGGCCGACGACTCTCCATGAACCGAGGGATCTCATGCAAACAGTGTCCCCATGAAAACCTTCTTCCTCCTTGAAGTTTTAGTGGCTAAATGATTGGTGAAATGAAGCTTCACTAAAACAGTCTGTCCATTGTTCATCTTCTGGGCCACAATTATAGAAGACTGTACACTCGGCATTCCGGCCCAATGGGCCGTGGGCTTTTCTTTTCTCTGCTCTTCTTAAAATCTTTTATTTATTTTTTTTTGAAAATGATAAATGACGAAGACAAAATTTGAACTTAGAATCTCATGATATACTATCATAATTTTCTCAGCTAATACCTGCACAAAATATTTTGGATGAGATTTTAAACCCTAGCGGATCGGGTACACCATCAATGTTTTAGATGGTGTGATCCGCCTTAATTCTCCGGTTATCCGAAGACATTTAGTCGGATGTTGCTGCGATCGCATTCCAACGAGTTCAACTAAAACTTTTTTACGGTTTTTTTAGGATTCCTGCGGTCGGACCTACCTCCGTCCACAAGATAAGCGATCGCAAACGCGTAGAGAGCGTTCGGTTATCGTCACCGGCGAAACACCGCATCCCGCTGCCGCCTTGGGAGAAATCCCAATGAAGTCCGCGCGCTTATAGCGTTCTACGCTCTTCCCTATCAAATCTAAAAGCCCGCCCTTTTCTTTCTTTCGCCAAATCTGATCCCACTCCTCTCTCTCTCTCTCTCGTCTCGCCGCACG